AAATAGAATCTCGTACTGATACTGCAAAGAAAGCAGTGCTGGAGGGAAGTCTGTGCTCATGAGTTTTGTCACTGATTGATTGTAACTTTCGGGTGATAGAACCAGGTAGTAGAGCTAAGGGGTAGAATCAATTTGATACAACCAGGTGGTAGAACCAGTTTGGTAGAATCAGGTGGTAGAACTAGGTGGTAGAACTAGGTGGTAGAACCAGTTGGTAGAACCAGGTGGTAGAACTAGGTGGTAGAACCAGTTTGATAGAACTAGGTGGTAGAACTAGGTGGTAGAACCAGTTTGATAGAACTAGGTGGTAGAACTAGGTGGTAGAACTAGGTGGTAGAACCAGTTTGGTAGAACCAGGTGGTAGAACTAGGTGGTAGAACCAGTTTGATAGAACTAGGTGGTAGAACCAGGTGCAAGAACCAACAGAACTAGGTGGTAGAACTAGGTGGTAGAACCAGTTTGGTAGAACCAGGTGGTAGAACTAGGTGGTAGAACCAGGTGGTAGAACCAGTTTGGTTAGTGCTAGGACACCGCATCTTACTGTAAGAGCCGACGCAGGCTCCTCATGTGTGAAAGTCTTGATTGCGTCGGTGTATGTACCAGCTACAGTATTGATCATATGTTGCTTCCTCTTGGCAACACACTTCATCTTTCTGAACTTGACCCACACAGGCTGCGCCGAAAGTCAGCCTCACTGTGTACACATCAGCATGATTGACAGTGGGAGAATGGCAGCTGTGGAAGCCGGTTATGGATACTTTCAAGTAGCTCTTGAACACGTGCTGTTACTCGCACTGTATCTAATGATCCCGATCCACATTTTGCTTGCAAACAAGTCGCCACAGCTATTACCAGAGGTTTACAGGGGTCCATCACAGCAACTTTCAGCTTCTCAAACATTGTTAATGTTTGTAAAAGAGGAAATGACATGTGCACATTACTGTAGAAGATAAGTTTCATTTCCTACTTTTGAGAAGCAACAATCATGGGCTTCTGCGGCGGCCTGAAATAGGTCTTTGTGTGCCGTATCCTTTCGACGGGAGCAATCAGCTTCCAACGCGCCAGAAACACAGTTCCACTTTTGGAAGCCGGTCTTGGCTGCAACGACGGAGTTCGTGATTCCCAGTGCAGTGTTCAACCCCTGTTGGAAGGGTCAAAAGCGGTGCAACAGTTTCTACTGCTACAACCAGAGTTGCGCCAGTCGTCAAAAACAGAAGTGGATGAGAAAGATACGTTATTAACCCCAAGGTACTAGCGCCAGATTCAGCGCCAGATCTGGTCGTAGCCAAGAAAAGTCTGAGACGATGAAGGTGGTCCCGTCTGAGA